GGCAAACACTGCTTTAGAGATTATTTGGGTTACCCATTTGCTACGTGAGCTTCACGCCTTGCCCGATTCAGTTCCAACCCTTTTATGTGACAACAAAAGTGCCTTATTTCTCAGTCAAAATCCCATATCTCACAAACGAGCAAAACATATTGATATTGATTATCATTTTGTTTGTGAATTGGTGTCCTCCGGAAAACTAAACACTAAGTTCATTCCCACGCATCTTCAGCTAGTCGATATTTTCACTAAAAGTCTTCCGCGCCCGTTGTTTGAACGTTTTCGTACCAAGCTTCGTGTTGGTCCACCACCGCTTAGCTTTCCGGGGGCTATTAGCGATAATATTAGAAATAATATTAGAGATAATGATAGTATTAGATAGCATTTGTATTGTTAATTAATCTCCTGTATTTAAGGCTAGCTGTTATACATCTGTATTCTATATATATACATCAATAAACAAAGAACATGTTCAAGGGGAAACAAATATTATACCATGTAGTGGTGAAAAGACTGAAATGATGATAAAGGAAAACAAATACGTATCCCAAAGTACAACTACAAATAAACAGAAGAAACGACGGGTATGGGTGGGTGTTATAACACCCAAAACTTGTCATCTCACATGTCAACTTAACTATTATACCATAAGTAGAAGTGGGGGTGATGTTCACATGTTATAACATGGTGTTGAGAGAGAGAGAGAGAGAGAGAGAGAGATTATGTACAAAAAGAAAATCCACCAATGAAATTGAAGCTATTCCCGTTTCAAGATGTTATGACGCAAACAGATCTTACCATAACATGTTAGGAGGGTGGTGTTACTTTGGACTTAATGTCGTTATGGAGGTGCCACATAGGCTTTCCCACGACGTTTTTGACCCACACCCAATAGTCTCATAATTTTTACATACAATTATGTTAAAATATATAAGAGGCACACATGTGGCACACAAAATAAATAAATCAAATAAAGACAAACAATCACCACATTCACACTAGTCATTTGGCGAGGATATACATTGCAACAAATAAACAACTAAATTCATTTAAATGGATTTTACATAATTCCGTAAAACAACCATAATAACTTAATATACCCGATGCAAAACATGACACATGTGGGTCCAATGGAAAAAACTTAAATGTTTTGTGTAAACCTATGTTTGTCGATTGGTCTATCTAGCCAAAAACAATTAGGGTTTCAAAGGGGTCACATGACGACATCAATGGTGGAAAGGCCACACAAAATGACATAACTGTAAGGCAAGGATACACACGACTCTTGGGTAGCTACGAGCGACAAAACCCGCGAAAAGCAAATACACAAGCTACATGTGAAATGTCGAGTAAAAGAATGTTGTGTATATTCGCACACAAGCCACATAACTGTAAATAAGCTATTACAAGAGTGTCGTAACCCCCGTCAAGTAGTGAGGGTACCACAAACAGTACTGAAGCCAAAGACAGTGACAAAATCCCTTTTCGGACAAAGATTGGTCTAGTTTTCAAGGTTTTAAAATCTAAATACATTCCCTAATACAAAAAAACAAATATTTATAAAATTGAAATTTTGGTTGCAACAAAAAGATCTAATACCACTAATGGATTCACAACGTAAATGAATCACTTCCAAAAAAATTAGTTAAAATCTGATATAATCTCTAAACAAGATCATAATGTAGCAAAAATTTATACCAATATTCACAACAAGGGGTTTAACAATCCATGCCTTGAGGTTCACTTTACGTTATGTTTTTTTTTTGAATGGCAAACGAATATTATTAGAAAAAATAAAAAGGGAAATAAGCGAGAAGCTCAAGCCACATTACAACAAGAAGTTTGATAAAGGGGGCATACACCATAAAGACCACTCAAGCTTAGAACAAGTGGACCTATTTTTAATCCAATTAAAGGTGTTAATACTAATATCATAAACCAAAAACATGAAAGCTCGTCGTTCATATCTGTAGATAATAGCATTCATCTCCTTCCAAATCATCCAAAAAGTTACGGATACTAGGGAAAGTTGCAGTTTATGCCTTTTTTTACACCAAACACTCGAATTTGGCATCTCCAATAACTCCAAACATGAAGAAGGGTGCTTATCCAGAATGCCAGACCATTCCACTAGCCAATAACTTTTGTGTTAGGTAGGGTGCAAATTCTTGAATACAAGGACCAAAATAGCTCCCCTCTAGCGATAAACATACATAAATGGATTTAGGCACCAATGAATGAGTTCCACCTCCAATAAGTGAACAAAAAGGGTTTTAGGGTTTAGATATAACAAAACCTATTTTCTCTTATAATTCTCAAATAACAATTAACCATCATACAATTTAAGACGGATCCTGAAATATTAATGAGTCTTATGGTTTCACTAGGCCATGGGCCCCCTTCCCTGGATGACACCTTCTTAGCGTGACTAAGGAAGCCTGGCGAACCAATTAATTAATTGCACAACACTTTGTATGAATGACCCGATTGAATATTACAAGCATTGTCATATTCACGTGTGTTCTTTTCAAGTTCATTCTTTATTTATTAGCTATATATTCTAAGTGTGCGACCTAGTAACTTTAGATAACGTTGACAATGATGTTAGTGTGTTATGTCTTATGCACATAACTCCAACACAAATCTCCCTTCCTATCATATCACTATAGGTGTTATTCGGTCGGTTTAATGATTGTTTCGATCTATTTTGTTTGGTTTGATCATGTTTTCAAGCATCTCTAAAACAACCATAACCGAACCACATGAAGTTAAGTTGAATCAATTTTATGTTGCTTAAGCTGTTGAAACTTCTAGTTTTTACATTAAAAGAAATCCACTTTGTTTTTAATATATAAGGAAAGGGGTATAAGAATAATTGAAACAGAGGAAATCTATTCATTATTCATGAAAGTTTTTTTTTTTTTTTTTAATTTAAAGACAAGATTTAGACGGGAATACATTGTTCGGATACTTGGAACAAAATTTTGTTTATATGAATCAATCTTTCGCACCAGGAGGGAGTTATTCAATCGGTTTGGTTTAACAGTAAAACCAAATGGAATTTCAATCCGAACATTTTTCTTAAATAAAAATGATGTGTAATAAGTAATAACTAAAATAAACATCAATTATAATATTATTTTAATAATATTAGAAAGTTCGCATAATAATTTTGATACATATTTTTTGGAGGGAAAATGACTTGTCGGGGTAATTATCTTTTCATCTTGTTCAGGTTTAAACAATTTTTTTTACACATTTGACCGTTTAACTTGATAAATGTGTTCACATATTATTATTGTCACCTGCTATCTCTCATTTGATAATGGTAACATGTGAACACATTTAACAAGTTAAATGATGAAATGTGTACAAGAAAAAGAAAATTGTCTAAATGTGAATAATTTTTTTTTATAAGTTTATTAAGATATTTTATAGTTTCTTATGATATTTTTATGATTTTTTTTCTTATATTTTTTTCAAAGATAATGTTTTAAACTTTGCTTATAATTTTTTTAAACTTTTTTATACTTTCATATAACTTTCATACAAATGCTTTTAAACCATATATTTTCTAAATGTTTTAATTTCTACTTACAAGTGTTTTTCTTTCTTTCTTTCTTTTTTTTTTTTTTTACATTTTCACATTTTCACATTTTCAAACATTTTTTTTATAACTTTCATATAATTATTTATGAGTTTTGTTTACAACATTTTTAAAGCATTTCATAGTTTATGTATGATAATTTAATATTTTTTTATAACATTTTAAAATACTTTTGTTAAATACTAGTTTAGAACTTTGTATTAAAAAACAAATTTTATAAAATTTCTAAATAAAAAGTATAAAACAGTTGTAATATTTACATTATATAGTTTTTTTTGTATGTTTTTATTTGGTATGTAATATTTTCTTTTTTATTTTTTTTTAAAAGACCTTACATACTTATTTTTACATATTAATTAATTTAATTTTATTGTTAGATACTATTTACTTTAAAAATATTACATATGCTTAAAAGCAAAAGGAAAATAATATAACAAGCTATATGAAATATTTCACAAAAAAACATATTTATTAATTAAAAAGTAAATTTTAAAATTGATCAATATTTAATTAATATTTATGATAGCATATTTTTGCTAAAAATAAATTAGTAGAAAATTGATTTGTCAAATCAAAAAACTATAAATGAGATAAATAATCAATCATTATGTATACTTTAAGAATAACATTTAGAAAAATAATACAAACAAATATGAAAAATAAAACCGCTAATAAAAGTGGGTAAAATGACTTATTGGGGTAATTAACTTTTCGTTTTGTTCACATTTAGATAATTTCTGTTTTTTGTACATTTTTTATCATTTAACTTTTTAAACGAGTTCACATATTACCATTGTTACCTGAGATAGACAATGATAATGATAATATGTTAACACATTTAACAAGTTAAATATTCAAATGTGTACTAAAAAGTTGTCTAAATATGAAAAAAAAAACGAAAAAGATTATTACCCTGTTAAATCATTTCCCTTTTTTGAAACAAAAATTCACATTCAATGACCTATTTGGTTATTCGTTTTATACGAAATAATATAAGGTTGATTGAAATTAAACCAAATAAAATCTTGTTTTTTCCCTCTAGCTTTATTCATTGCTTACAAGGACATGTTTTTTTTTTCTAATTATTTTATGTTAAAGAATTTTTTTAAAGAAAATTTATTTTTCTAACCATATGAAATTATGACAAATGTCATATAAAATTAATTATATTTTAAAACACTTCGCTATTATTTCAAATTACTAGGAAAAAGAAAAAAAATAAAAAGATATTTAATTTCTGTTTTTTTTAATGTTTTGATCATCACATACTTTAAAAAGAAACTGCGTTATCAATTACATAATCTAAAGTCTAAACTTTGCCTTAGCAAAAAAAAAAAAAAAAAAAAAAAAAAACACTTTTATATGATATTTAAATACCATCCATAAATCCAAAACTAACGTTCATCACCTTTCCCCTGTTTTTGAACCTTCAATTCACCCAATCCTACGACAATCTTCCCCCTTCAAGCCTCTGCAAACCTGCTTTCATCTTGATAATTCAAGCTCAAAAACCCGAATTAATAACCAAATCAAATCCTGGGTTTCCTTTTCAACACCTCCAATTCCCATTTTGTCAATCTGAAACAACAATTCAGAGTGGCGGAATGGAGTATTTCCAGAGGGCAAAAGCCGTCCGGCTACGGAGCCACCACCGGAAGTACCTATTAGCAGATGACGACGGCGAACACGTGATCCAAGACCGGCAAGGCACATTCAAGAACGCGAGATGGAAGGTTGAATTCGACGATAAATACGACAATGTGATCAGGTTAAAATCGTGTTTTGGCCGGTATCTCACCGCTTCCGAAGATCCACACATCCTCGGCGTCACCGGTCAAAAAGTCATTCAAAGTGTTCCCCGGAAAATTAATTCCTCCGTCGAATGGGAACCGATTCTAGAAGCTTCAAAAGTCCGGCTCAAAACCCGATACGGGAATTATCTACGAGCTAACGGCGGAGTTCCTCCATGGAGAAATTCGATTACACATGATATTCCTCATCGGCATCGCAATTGGATCTTATGGGATGTTGAAATCGTTGAAATTAGGCTTCATCCACCAAAACGGAAATCAGATCCGTCCTTGGATCTCGATCTGGATAGTTCATCTTTTCATCTCCTATCCTGCCCCTTCCCTATGGTTTGTGTGATCATTTTCAATTCTTTCCATCTGATTTGATCATCGGAATCAGATTAGTGTTCTAAATTGGATCATCTGTATGTCGATTTACAGGGGAGCGATCCGAATTCCGGGAATTCGAAGAACGAAGGGAGGATGATTTATTACAAATTGGTGGATGATGATGGCGAGATTTATGATGAGGAAGGATCGTTTCTGTTTAAGGGTAACACTATAGAGGACTTGACTCAAAATTTGGAGGAAGAAACAGAACTGGAGAATATTACTGTGTGTTCACGCAACCCTTTGAACGGCAGACTTTATCCCCTCCGGCTAGCTCTGCCGCCGAATAACACAACGCTGAATATTATTGTAGTTCCTGAAACCTCCAAAGGTTAGAATTTGAAGAAGCTTTTTCTCATTTTGATTTTTGTTCTGTCATCTGTGTGCGTCCCTAATAGATGTATTGTTCATTTTTTGTGTTTTGATCAGCTGCAAAGGATTTCCAGACGATTTAACCATGGTGATTGCAGGCTACTAATATATCTGCATATGTGATGTGTTTATATCGAAGATAGACATGAATGAAAGCAAATCGCATATGTGATGGGTTTATATCGAAGATAGACATGAATGAAAGCAAATCGTTTGAAACCAAGAGTGATTCCTAGCTAAAAACACAATGATTCATTCGTGGAAACTTTGATCCAAATCAAATTTTGTAACATCAAACGCATTTGATTTCGTTTTTTAGAAACTAATCGTATAACTTGTGTTAACTGTCTTCTTTCCCCGATAAGCATTTTGTTTTTCTAACTTATTTGTCTTTCAAAAATACACCCTCTATTTATTAGATTTTTACAAGGTTGTATTGTATTTTTTTTGTTATATTTGAAATTATATTATTAAATAAATATAACCAAGCAAAATTAATTGTTATATTATTAAAACAAACATTTTCATAAATAAAAAATATATATTATAACATATTTCAATAAATATTGCCCATCGCTTTATAAATATATTATGCAAAACAGTTAAATTGAAAAAAGTGTAAATTTAAACTTGTAACAAATTAAATAAATTAAATATTTATAAATTAAAACTTTTAAAGAGTAAAAATGAGAAATAAAACTTTAACACCAAATTGGTGTTGACACACAACATAACACAAAATTTGGTGTGATATTATTTATAGCACGAAAATTTGATGTAGAAATTAATGGTTTAGGGCTATTTCCATAAAATACTTTATATTTTGATTTTTTTTTAGACTTTTTTTTTTTGAAAAAAAAAACTCAAACTTTACCGATTACTTGTTATTTCAGAGCTTAACAGGTCACCAACAGGAAATAAAGTTTTTTTTTTCTTTCATAAAAGACTGTACATTTTGCAGTTTTACCGATTTAGACCTAATTTGTTCCAAAATAAGTCTAACTTTATTATTTCAAAATACAACCCCGACATGCTATGGTTATATGCATCTTAAAAGATTGGTATGGATCAAAACATCACAAAAAACAACTAAAACATTTTTGACATTATATAGTTGTAATAACAATTTTCTCCTTTAAAAGATTGGTATGGATCAAAACATCACAAAAAACAACTAAAACATTTTTGACATTATATAATTGTAATAACAATTTTCTCCTTTAAAAGAGCAATGATGTCCATGCAAATATGAATTTCAAGGACATGGACTACTTTAATTAGGTGATCAAATTACAATCAACATGTAAAGTAGGATTAAAAACCATACCAACGTCTAATGTTAGAGGATTTAACTTTTACATTAACTTTCATATTCACTGCTCTTTATTCCATTTGATCTACGTCTTCCAAAGGAATAATAATTGACAGTTTCAATGTGTAACTTCCAGCTTGACTCATATTCTCGAATGCAATTATGTAACACCCGGTTCTTGAGTTAAGTATTTAACTGATGCGCTTAACGAATTGTTTATTGGAAGGTTTCATGTTTTGGAGGTTTTTAATTGTATTACTCGAGTCTTGATGATGATTTCCCATGCCTAGATTAGTGGTTTTATAGTCAGAATGAAAGTAGAATAAAGGGGGCGAAACAGGAAGCCATTTACCACAACTGCTGAAAAACTGAAAGTTATCGATTTTCGCTGAAGGAACAGAGCGCCCATAAAGGGCGTGGGGCACCTCTGTTTAATCAGAGATCGTCTATTTTTTCGTATTCGGACGCGGGGCACCTATGTACTTGGACTGAACATTTTAATTAGGGTTTCGAGGGTATTTAAAGGCCATTTACCCTTAGGGTTTGATCATTCTTAGCCTCCATCACCTCTTCAATGAACCATAGGAAACCCTAGCCTCCATTAAAGGCTTTTAAGCTCAACCTCTCTCCTAAAATCCATTTTGGTGCTTATTTTGTGTTTTTTAGTGCTCTAGAGTGAAGTAAACAAGAAAGATTGATCAATGGAGCTTTGCATCTGCAGTATTCAACCTTTTTACCACTTTTGGACCTTTGTAAGTCATAAAGTTCCATGCTTCATTATGTTTCACCTTTGGATCTAAGAGTGTTTGGAGTTTTAGTGCTTTATTTGATGTTTTGGTCCCTTGGATGGTTTGATGTATGGAGTCTGGACAACTCCACGATCTTTGGGTGGTGTTCTACTTTAGATTTGACGTGTTGGAGGAGTAGAGAGTGCATGTAAGGGCTCTCTTTACTCCATGCATGAAGAAAAATGTTACCTTGGACATTTTAAAGATTAAGGTTTTAGATATAGTTAGTTTGGGGTGTTCTAATGGATAAAGAACTTTATCCATTAAGACACCATTTGGATCCAAATATGGAACTTTGTGAATCGACTTATTGGATTAAGTCAAAATTTCTCTTTGGAAGTGGCATGGACGCAACGCGTCTCCTTAAGGGGCGCATGTCTTTGTGTTAATTGGATGTGCATTTGTTGTTAGAAGCTAAGTCTTAACTGTACTATCATGTGGTGAATGTGACGTTCCTTATTGACCAAGGGTTGACTTTGACTTGTTTGACTTTTGGTTAAATTGTTGGGTTTCTGAGGTGTAGACTAAGGTTTAGTCTCTGTTTGATTAGGCAGTTTGTGTAGTTGATTCATCGGACTTCGGGTGGTGGAATTTAACTCTTTGTGCAGGTGAGTCTTCTCATTGTACTATATGGGACACTAGGTGTCATGGTATGTTAGAATGTCTTTGTGACTTTGTCATGAAAGATTATGGGTGAACCATTGTAATCGTATGAAAGACCATGTTCACCCCATGACACTTGTATGAAAGTCTATGTTTTTGCACATAGCAGGAAAAAGTATGTTTTTGCACATAGCAGGAAAAACTATGTTTTGACACATAGTATGAAGTGATTGTAAGACTATGATTTGACCCATAACATTCACATGGGTTGGAACAGTTGTAAGTTTAAATTGTTTCAGATTTTCTGGTGGCAAGAAATGGTGTGATTTGATTGTATCACACTGATTGTAGATTTCTGCACTAAATAACTTTTATGTCTATAGTCTGATTAATGTTTTGTATCAAATGGTTTATTTAGATATTTGAAGTTGTAATTGGACAAATGCTTTTAATATCAATTGAAAATTTTCCTGTAGAATTTGGGACATTACAAATTAGATGAGTTTACAAATAAGTCGATGATGATGAATTATGAGTATAGGTTTTTCCATATAATAATTGGTTAAAAGAAGTGTGTATTAATATGCATGCTGTCTTAGTTGTATCTTCATATATGAGTATAAGAAAATCATAAATTCATAAACACTAATTAGTTCTTCATATGCATCCAGATTCTGTTAAAATCATATACTAATTAAGTTTATCTTACCAATACATGTTCATCGTAAAATTGATTTTTCCAAGCTTTTTATGTTTGATTATGACATTTAATAGTAGGGATATGTACAGTAAAGTCCCAATATTTTAACAAAAGTTTTAAAAAAGTCATAAATTTTTTTTTTAATAAAAAAAACCCAAAAAACCATATAATTTATTCTGTTTTTTATCATATTAAAGAGTAATCCGCTGCCCCACACCAGCACATGTCCAGTTGTCATGCCATGTGGAATGGGTGACTTGCTGAAAAGGTTAAAATGAATTAAACTGAATGAATTATCCGGTTTTCTGAGCTTTTTTATTCAAAAAAAAAAATTGAGATTTTTTTAAAACTTTTGCTAAAATATTGGGACTTTACTGTAGATATTCCTTTAATAGTAATCTATATTTGCTGAATGACAATTAAATATGATAGATTGTAAAACATGTTGAACATCTAGATTATTGAATACTAATTATATTTGTTGAACGTTAATTTTATGTCACCTAAGATATCTCATTAGTTCATGTGACCTGTGACCATAATCGTTGCCTCTTATCAGAGAAATTCCATATGCAAATCAAATTTAAGATATACAGTAAAAAGATCCGGTACACATGCAAATCCATTACATGATATGCTTAGTAAACACCAAAGAATTTTTCATAGTTCTTTTAACTATTTCAATTACACACGTCATTATACGTTCAAATATTTCAACGCCTACAAACTTAATTATATTTTATTTGATTTTAATATAAGGAAGATTATGCATAAAGTTTTTTTATTGAAGAAACCGTCAATTTCTTTAATCATGTGTATTGAATTGATTATAGATGAAAACTAACATATATATATATATATATATATATATATATATATATATATATATATATATATATATAATCTTAATAAAAACCTCCCTATTTTCTACATCTTTTTTATGCCACGTGGCAGTATTCTAGACCCTCTTTAATATTTTTCCCGCTCACAAGATATCGCATATTTCATCCATATTATTCATATATTCATGTCATCTAAATCTAATTCAAATTTGAAATTTCAATTAGTCCCTGATTATTTGGGATACACATCAATAATTACTCCGCTATCTTCTCTGATGCCCCCTATCGCGATCCTGAAATCATTTATAATCTGACATTTCATTTGTGCCTCTTTCTCTTCTCGATACTCTATACGCGAAGATCCTTTGAAATCTAGGTGATTCAAACCCGATCAGAGAGCGTACAGGTTTGAACTTCTCTAATTTTTACACATTTTTGTGTTTTAGATTTTGTCTCTTTTAACTTACTTTTCTTCTGTCTCAGTTCCTTCTATCAAACACTGATTTCTGGTGGTGGATAAGGTGAAGGTAAAAGCATATGAAATTGATGGAGAAGTAATCTCTTTCATAATATTCATTCTCTTTACAGATTCGATTTCCCCCTTTTCAGTTATTTAGGGATTTGAATTTCTTTTTTTGCAGTTTTTCATTTTCATATCCTTATTATAATACTAATAGCGTTCATGTTTTGAACTTATACAGAGCATCCATGGATTAGAGAAGATGGAGAAGCATCAGACAAGTCATCAGACAAGTCAACCGACAATCAACGGTGCAGCCCTTTAGGGTGAAGCAATTTTGAGCCATCAACAAACTCAAGAAAATCGATCTCAAGGTTTTCTTAATAGCCCAACTTCCTCAGATTTCAGTATGCATCTTAACCCTAACTCTTCAACGAGCATAATTTTTAAGAAATTTCTTTAGGTCATTGCTGAAATCTACACCAAAACCTTTGTTATGTTGGGATCTCTAAAGAAAAAAACAAATTCTTCCCCATCTGGTGGTCGATTTTGACACAGGTACAACTTCCAAGAAGAAGTAAGAAATATAAATTTTGTGTTGCTATACAGTTATGATTTTTCTGAGTCCTAATTGTAGCATAAAAGCGATAATAGATATTTTTTGT